TGGTCTGTCTCTCTTTGCACACTATTGGGCCAGTTCCTGTTGAAGATGGAGCAAGCTTGTTTTCTGCTGCTATAAAAACTAGGATAAGGAATAGTGGATTCAAACTGCAGGAAAAAAGATTCTATCAGCATATTAGGAAGAACATCCTGATGGTAAGAGCTGTTCAAGAGTGGAATATGTTTTTTCAGAGTGTAGTGGAATTCCCTTTTTTGTTTTTTTATAATGGAGACTGCATGGCCATCTGTCTATGCATTCCTGCATAGCAGAGGGTTGGACTCGATTGTTCTTGTGGTCTCTTCCAATTCTATGATTCAATAATTCTAGAAGAGGTGGAACAACACTGGAGTTTGGTGGGACAGTCTGGTAATTTTAGATCTCATAATCACTGACCTCATGGCTCTTTTGGTATCTTACTAGGCATACTTTAAAACATGGGAAATGTGGTTTCTGGAGGTTCTTTTGCTCAGTTAGCTAAGTGGGACCTTGGAATTTTGCCCTATAGTTTTATCTAGCCAACCTTTGTACACAGAGAGCAAAGGTGTATTGTCCACTAGTTCAGGCAGAAAACTACCTTGGGTCAGTGCAATTTCCTGGCCAAGATTTTGTCCTCTGTTTCTCCATACTATAGTACAAACTTTGGGCATGTCTTGAACAGAAAGGCCTTCACTCATTGCAACAACCTTTCATTCCCCTGAAGCAATTACTTATTTCCCCCAAGCTCCCAGCAGAACAAAACAGTTCAAAAAAGAGAAAGCACTAGATTAATCATTCTTCTTATCCCAGATGACTAAAATGTCTTTATTCAAAAGAGCCAAGGTGGTAGAAGGAAGAGGAGGAGAACTGGGAAGTAGAAACTGAGATGCACAAAGCAAAAGAGAGGTTTAGGCAGCAAGCCACAAATACACACCATCAATCATAGCGCAGTCAAAAATGTTCATGTGTTTGGTACCTGCTAGTTATTGGCAGGACTCAGGACGTCTCCAGAGTGCAATCACGGAGTCTCTCTTTCTCTCTCTCCCTCCTTTTTTTAATGTTCCATTTTCATCTGAAAAACTGTTTGTCAGCACCGGAATGGCAGGTGCATTAACTCCCTCAGAACCAGATTATAGGAAAAAATTGCAATTGCAGGGAAATAAGACATTAGTAAACTCCAGGGTCCCTTTCTCTCTCCTTCTGCCTCCACCTTTTTCGTTTCAAAAACTATTTTCAGAAACTCATATGCACATTAACAATCCAGGGTTACAGAGATGGTGATATTTCATCTTGGTCATGACTGCAGAGGAGACTGATTGGTATCCAGTGACTTTTGACCTGCAAATAGACTTGTAGTTTGTGTTTGGAGATATGTTGTTTTCTTTTTCACAGAATGATAAAATGTGTCACAGGATCTCTAAGGTCATTTGAATGAGGAAAGAATCAGTATAACAAACTAATATCTCAGATTTAAAATGAATCCTTTCCAAAAAATAGCAGTTTCCTTCAGTATATGATCAGTAGAGAACTAGATGTCACTGTGTGGCAATATCTGGTGTGTTGGAACAAAAAATTACATGTATCAAATCCATTCTGCTACCCATGGTGGTTTGTAGCTTCCCTCTCTATGGGGAAGTAAATCTGTTTTAAGTTTTAAGGTGCATCTACTCTGTACAAACAATGTAGTGTGACACCACTTGAATTGCCATGCTCAATGCTATAGGATCATAAGAGTTGTGGCTTGGTGAGGCACCAGCACTCCTTGGCAGGGATGGCTAAAGAACTTGTAAAACTTCAATTCCCATGCATATGAATTGGTAAGAGAAACTAGGGAATTTTAACAGCAAATTAAAAAAGTGAAAAAAGAGGATTTCTGTGTCAAATCAGCACAGGGGAATATTTTTGCTCTATCATGAGAACTGACCATTTATTTCTACTCTCTGCTTGATATTCTATGGTTTCCAAATTATAAGACATCTGCCCCTCTTATACCATGACTAAGTTTGCTCAGGAAGCTGAACTCAAAAACACTTTGGAAATCCAAGCAACACTTATCAGCTAGGCCTGGGCGGTTTCGTTCGTTAATTTTGTAATTCGTTAAATATTCGTTATTTTTAGCATTTACGAAACGATTACAAAACACATTTTCAAACCCGGAAGGGTTTAAAAATAACGAACCGGCAACCCCCATAGTTTTAACGAGCTTCCGCCCGTTTCGTAAATGGGATGGAGGCTGCTGGTGCCCTGGGAGCCAATCCGGCGCTCCCAAGCACCCAAGCAGTGCACCGTGGCTGTTTCTGATTGGCCGGCGAGCCCTTTAAAAGTGGCTCCGCGCGGCCGTACAGCTCATTGCTGCAGAGGGCGAGGGAGAAGAGAAGAGGTCCGGGAGGGTTTGCATTGGGTTGGCTTGCAACTGCTTGGATTGGATTCATTCCTTGCTCATTCCTTGCTTGGATTGCTTGGATTGGATTCATTCCTTGCTCATTCCTTGCTTGGATTGCTTGGATTGGATTCATTCCTTGCTCAGAGGTCCGGGAGGGTTTGCATTGGGTTGGCTTGCAACTGCTTGGATTGGATTCATTCCTTGCTCATTCCTTGCTTGGATTGCTTGGATTGGATTCATTCCTTGCTCATTCCTTATTCCTTGCTTGGATTCATTCCTTGCTGCTTATTATTAATTCCTTGCTTGGATTCATTCCTTCCTTCGGTTTTTGTCAATTTGTTTGTTAATTTTCCATTTTTGAATATTTTTTAAAAATACCTGTCTTTTATTCTTAAAAAAATACAAAAAATATTCTAAAAAAGAAAAGACTCTTCTGTTGGTGTGTGCTCTCGTTTGCCCTGTCTCGTGGCTGTGTTTGGTCCACATCAGGGCCAGTTTTTGGTTAATTTTCCATTTTTGAATATTTTCTAAAAATACCTGTCTTTTATTCTTAAAAAAAAACAAAAATATTCCAAAAAAAGAAAAGACTCTTCTGTTGCTGTGTGTGCTCGCTCATTTGTGTAGTTCCAACCAGTGCGCTCCTTTTGCCAACACAAAGTGCTAGAATGCAGTGCTTGCTCGCTCATTTGTGTAGTTCCAACCAGTGCGCTCCTTTTGCCAACAGAAAGTGCTATAATAAGTGCTCGCTCATTTGTGTAGTTCCAACCAGTGCGCTCCTTTTGCCAACACAAAGTGCTATAATACAGTGCTCGCTCATTTGTGTAGTTCCAACCAGTGCGCTCCTTTTGCCAACCCAAAATATTTAATAACGAAGTTATTAATAACGAAGTTTTTAATAACGAAGCTTCGGAAGTGATTTTGCGCATGCGCGGGGGTCCGCCATCTTAACGAATCAATTCGTAAATATTTACGAAATTTCGTAAATACCGAACTTTTTTAGGGGAAAATTTTGTAATTATTTTAAATATCGAAACAAAAAAACACCCCAATTACAAATCGATTTTAGAAACAAATTTTTGCGTTGTTACCCAGGCCTATTATCAGCTCATTACAATTCTTGTATTTATTATGTATGTAGTTTTTATGTATGGCTCATATATCTCCTGGTACAGAGGAGGAGCTTAGGTAAATGTTACAGTTAGGAGACCAAGAATTCACATTTTAGCTCTTGAAATGATACTTTACCAATGACAAGCCCACTGCTTGAACCATAGCTGGTCACAGGCATGATATGGGCTGAGTTGGTAGTTATCAATTACTTCACTTGGTATAGTTCAATTGAATCTCTGCGGAGAATGACTTTTCTTTGTCTCCTCTCAGCATTTAGCAATTGAGGACAACCCTGTGTTCTGTTTTTATATAAGATAAAAACCCCTTCTTCTTATTGTTCTGTATATTGCATTATTTTAATTAAACCACACAATTTCCCTCAAACTGGAGAGTTCCATCGATATATTTCAGAATATTCATGGCATTGTATACCTCTATGCTATTCCTCTCTATTTTTTTTTAAATTATAAACTCCCCAAATCCTGAAATATTTCTTCACAGGGAAGATGTTCTAGTCTTCTGCTTCTTTTGATTCATCTTCCTATAGGCTTTTGGTTAGATGGATCCACAGTATTCTAAGAGTTGTTGCACCATAGATTCATGTAAAATTATGTAGAAAGACATGACAATTTTAGAAGTATTTATTTTGTTCATTTTCTAGTGATCTTCTACAGAGATATTGCATTTTGTACAGCTGGGCTGAATTTGTTTTATTGATTCAGAATTACACATTTATCTTCCAGTCCTTCCCCCTCAACAATGAACACAGGTATTAAACTGAGCGAAGGATGATGGTATGGATGAAGATAATTTTCACTGAAGTGACTCTTTTATCCAAACACTTTCTAACTATCAGATTAGAAAGGAAATATTTTTTTAAGGCTGAAATCCCATTCTTACATATCTGGGTGTAATTCCCATCAATCCACCTTTGATCCCATTCTGCCGGTTGTGGATCAATGTACACTGGGACCAATGGGCATAATTCTTGTTCTGCATCAGGACAACAACTAGGGAGTACTAGTGTGTGCATCGTTATAGCTTGGTATGTATCATGGCACTCTTGTTAATGTCCTGCTGTGTGTCTTTGCAATTCACTGATAATGTTTTCTAGAGTTTCTGGTACGTAGCTAAGTATAAATAAACCTACATAACAGAGAACCGTAATAGAGGATTCTAGCCAGAATCTTTTAATGAAACTTGGCTGTATTCTTATAATTATATTTTAACTGCTCTGAAATATTATAACTATGTTATGTTTTAATATATCATGAGACAGCATATTAGGGAAAACATGGAATGTCAAACAAACAAACAAAGAGTTGCTGGCTATTGAATTGCTGGTCTGACTCCCCATGAAAGAAATAGTAACATTATTCACTTGACTTTAATTTTGTAAGAAGAAACTGCCAGAAGATGGCACTCCGGGACTTTGAACTTGACATATTCTAGTACCAGAACAAACAGCGAAAACAACCGTGAGATGGCTTTTTTCTTTTTGAAAAAATATTGTTAATTGGTTCACCACTGAACATCAGTTAAAATAAAACAAAGCCACCCATATAGCTACAATTGAAGCTTGAATCATGTCCACTGACTCTTACTGTTTTCTCTAGAGCAAGCTATTAATTCCTAATGCAAGGTACTTTCTGCCTTCAGGGTGAGTTTTCCTTTTTGTCTTTTATATTCATTTTTGATGTGTATTAAACTGTTCAATTGTTCTGATACCTGATGCATTTCAGCCACCAGATATTTTTTCCACAGACACAGCTTTACCGCTTTCCTAAGATGGGAGACAAAGCGTAGATTGTTCTACACTTGCATCTATTATTGGAGCAACTCCAGCTATACTGATCTGGTGGCTAGAAATCTTGCTCTGATTTAATGTGGTTAACATTGTTTTTGAAGATATCTTTTCAAAACATCAGACACTGTAGGAATTATTTGGAGGATGGCACTCTGAAAATCAGGAAATCTATGTCTCTATTTTTTAAAATGTATGACCTACATTTTAGGAACATACCACACTCCAAATAATGAGGATTCAGAAGTTCTTTGCAATATAATGTTGAGATTTCTGACTGCCACTTTCAAAAGACACTGTCAATTTTTATATTTTGAGTTATTCACTTTTTTATTTATTTTTTATACTTACCCTCCACTTTTCAAAGCTTAGAATCATTTCCCATGAAGTCTCCAATCCAGAGAGCTAGACTTATTAGCTTGCATGGTTAAGCTGCACTTTTTTACCCAGAAATCATGCCCTGAACATACAGAATATAGTGTTTTGAAGAAGCATGTCAAAATAGAGACTCTTGCCTAGAAATGCTAAAGGACAAATCTGAAGGTTTAATTATAAATGCAGGACTTTTCTAATTTAAAGCAGGGCATTAATAAGCATGTTATCCTCTAAACCTATTGGTTAATCTCTGTTGTATGATTGAGAATGGAAGACACGGAGAAAAGTATAAGACAAGTGTCACTTTGAGAATCCTCAGAATTTGATGTAAGCAGCTCATTTCTTCAGGAATATATTAGATTTTAGTAATACAAAGCAAACACATATGGAAACAAGAATCTCAGTTACTTAGGAATTTTTCTTGTTGTCAGATCAACAGAATAGGTCATTGCTGCATCCCCTGAACCCTTTGAAAAGTCAATACCTCTTCCTCTTCCTTCCTTCCTTCCTTCCTTCCTTCCTTCCTTCCTTCCTCCCTCCCTTCCTCCCTCCCTCCCTCCCTCCTCCTTCCCTCCCTCCTCCTTCCCCTCCCTCCTCCTTCCCCTCCCCTTTGTAGTACACTTTTCAGAGCCAAGGATGTCAGATCTGTTCACTATGACTAGCTGTTGTGACAGATTTTGAGCATTTAATTATGATCCTTTTCAGTGGAAGAATTAAAATGATTTTATTTGGAGAATTTGGTTACTAGCAGTTCTGCCCATACATTTAAAAGTACACTCTCACACAAACCTCAGACAAGGAATAAATAGAGGGATTATATACATAGATGCATAGAAATGTGGAAAGAACATGGGAAAATGCAGAGAACGAAACATTTGGAATAGAGTAATTCCCTATGTGAGAGAAGTTAAAAACTTGTACAAATTAGTTTTTATCTCCTAGAATAAAATCCACTAGCTAGCTGAATCGCAAAATACAATTGAGTCTTTTGTGCCCTAAGTTTGAGGCTCAATAGCCTATATATTTTTCTACATTATGCTGTTAATTTAAAATAAATGGTTCGTGATAAAGATTAAGATTCTGAGTCAATAGCTATAGAAGAAGATGGAGTTTATCCTCACACAGCCTTTGCAGAATTGTAGTAAATATTCCACATCTGAGCTCATTTGAGAGATGTATTTTGGCACCTGAATAGAGTTCATTTTGTTTGGGGCGAACAAATCATATAGAATCATTAGTCTCCTAATTGGCTAAAAAGGAGATTTTGTTATCTGATTGTTAATTTGTGTCTTCCTGTGATGAAAGAAGATATACAGGGTTAGTCAAAATGAATAGGCCAATAATGAATAATGAATAATGAATATTGGCCTATTCATTTTGACTAACCCTGTACATCTGCCTTTTCAAAAATTGTGCATTCTGGCCATCTATATATGTACTAAGTTAGGTGCTATAATTTATTGATTTTCAATGAAACTATTGGTGCAAATGAAAGCCTAATTGAAACAATTTTTAAAGTGCAGAAGTTGACAGTCTCGACTGATGTAAGCTTATTGCCAGCTGTTACAAGTCAAAGCCGGAGTGTATCCATGGCTAGATAAATAAAATACATACCTTGTGGCTGAAAATACATTTTGCAATGTGCCCACATATTCCGTTGCTTTAAAGTGATGGTTTTAAAAATGTGGAGGTATTTCTTAACCCTTGTGTAGCATAGAAAAAGGAGAAGGACAGGAGGACAGCGAAAGCCAGTTGTGTTGGTACTTTAAACCTCTGGTTTAAATTGTCAGCTTTTTCATCTAATGTGGATGGAATTTGTTTTGGTAGGTAATTAATTTGTGAAGCTGAAATTTATGTGGCTTGCAAAGTAGGCGAACAGGTGTACTAAAAAGTAAAGCCCCTTAATTACCCAAAAACCTTTTCATGGGTAGGCAAGTTATAATGAAAACTTTTATTTTGTGATGGAAGAAATTTAGATGTACTCTGTAAGCTGAAGGGACATTATACTCCGAGAAAGAACCAGTTTTCAGTTATTTAAACTTATTGTTCTTCTGTTTTCTCCCATTTTTGGCTATTCAGTTTTTAGCTTGTTTGAAAAACATCCTTTTGTTTTTTCAGATGGAACAAAATGCCAATTCACTTGCCAGGGATTTGTATCTTCTGGCCATTTTTTCTCTATTGTAGGTTTTTGATATCATAGAAATTATTTTTATTTGCTAAAAATTATTGTTGAACTTAGTTAAGTTTAAATAGAAGTGTGTAAAACTTACTTGAGAATAATGAAGCACATATGCCTGGAGTCAGCTTGTAAGAAATCGGGGAACGCTGAGGTTGTTCTGTTGGAAGTAAATGCTATCAGTATAAAATTGAGAGAAGGATACCACGGTATAGTTTATGTTTTACAGTTTGAGCTACAATCTAGCTAAAACTGTAAATTTAGAATAGTATTTCAAGTCATGGTAGAAGTGTCTATTTTTAAATACTTTGTTGATTTCAAAAGTAAAATCTACTGCTTTGTTTAAATACTCTGATGTCAATAAAAGGAAATGCCACACATTGTTTCTTCGCTAGTTAATAAAGCCCTCAGAGGATCAAAGATTTTTTTTTCATTTTAAAATGTAAAGTTATGAAAATTCAGCCCAAGATATCCTTTGAATGTTGGAATCAGAAAGCTGAGTATTCTTTTTAATTGGCCCTTGGAAACATTTTATCTCTCTCCTTTTGTGTTCTACAGTTCAAAGTTCTCAATTATGGGTTTTTGTAATGTGCGTTACAATACTGTAACAATGAAATCTGCTACTCCTTTTTAAGCAGCAAGAGAATTAATTATTGTAGCCTCATTCAGAAGATGTGGTGATGCTTTAAGTTAACATTGTCTAATAGGCATTTAATTCTCATTTAATAAGACCATTATTGCATGATAAACAAATGCCAATTGATTATTAAACACATTTATTTCAGATTAATAGAAATGCCAGATTCAATGGTCATTAAGCATCAATGAAGAGTCTTTTCATTAATAAACAGCTATTTATTTGCCATGGCAAGTGTCTTGTTCAATTTAAATTAAATATCTATTTAGGATCTCCAGGCTGTAGTATTATCAAAGGCATCTGAGTATTTGTTCCATAAAAAGCATTTTTCAGTTTCAGATGTGCACGATGCAATCTCCAAAAACGGAGGAAAAATCAATCCTTATAAAAGGAGCTTGGGTTGCTGCTAGATAACTAATTATACAGACAGATCCTTTGTGCAGTTCTGTACTAGCTTGTGTGTGTGTGTCTCTCAATCTCTCTCTCTCTCTCCCCCCACCCCTTGTGAACTTTGGTACAGTTTTAAAATAAATTTAATTACTCATTGATTATTTACAAGGTATTTTCTTCTGTAATTCCATTCATATTTTCAAACAGAAAGGGACTATTGTTTTATGAACCCTAACACAATTTTCCGGGGAAGTAATATTAGTTTCTTGCATCAGAATATGAAACAGTGTCATGTTCAGTGAAGCTTGTATGTTTTTAATAGATGCTGTCGATGAATAAGTATTGTAGGACCAGGACAAATGTGTCAAAGATGTGAGTTATCTGATTTTGCATGCAAGATTATGCTCCAAATGTATGTTAATACCTACATCTATATTGGGGTAAAGGCTCCTGAAGTATTCCATGAAGTCGGCTTTTTGAAATGACCGTATGTGAAGATATAAGCCAAATCTTTTGTATAAATTGGCAGGGTTTGCTTCTTTATTCATTATAGAGATGGTTTATTTGAAATCAAGGCCAGATTCATTATTGAAGGAGAATTCAGAGTTGGATAAACTATTTTAAAATACAAGTCTTTTTACTGAAAGTGGATCTAATTGCCCTCAAGCACTATTTAAGGAAATGTGCTTTGTTAACAGTAAATTGGTGAGTTCTTGCTATTGATACTAGACAGTGGTAGATGAACCAGGGAACACCGCTAGAAATCATTGATGAACAAATAAAAGGAAATGCTCCATGTCATGGCATACCAAGTAGAATGGAATGTGCAGGATTTTTCTTGTTGTTGTAAATATATTGTTTTAGGCATGACCTACATGGGATTCCTAGAGACTTGGGAGGGGAGGGTGTGAGCAATGTAGTATGATGTATATTCATGGAACAAAGAGAGAGTTGCTAGGCCACAAACACTGTCATATGCTTCAACGTTTTATCTTGGAAAATAGGTACACCTGAATCCAAGCAACATCACTATATGGCCAAAGATCATACAGGCTAGGAAAGACAATCTAGAACCAGAAAGGCTGTATATTATCCAGTGGCCAGACAACTGGCAACATGCTCCCATCTGTTGTTGTCATTCCCACTAGATGACGCATCTCAGATAGCATTACCTAAAGCGCATGAGACATGTGGAAATGGATACTATGCTGGGCCTCTTGGTAGCTTTCAATACTATTAATCATGGTAGCCTTCTGGGCCATTTTGATCAGATGGGAT